TAATTACTTTAATATCTACGTTTACTTACTACTCAGTGCATCATTTCCAAGCAGTCATTTATATCTATGTTGTGGAACCTGTCCTTTATCATTAATGTTTTAATTATACAGTATATCTTGAATTTTCTTAATTAGGAAAATTAATTAATGTATGAATTGTCCAATATTTCCATAACTTTTTGAAATAGTAAAGGTGTTGGGAATTTGTTAAAAAAGTCAGTTAAGATTTTAAATTTGGTAAAAATAAAATCCAAATTATTAAAATTTTAAGAAAAATTTACCATAATTATAATGTGAATTAATTTAAAAGATAACGCCCAAAAGTAAATGAATTACCAAAAATATTCTTTAGAAGCGAAAACCAAAAACTAGAAAACACTTCATGAGACGGTAGATTTTGCCCTTTGTGTCACGTACTCGCCGCCTCCTTTCGCGTACCACAAAAACTTGTGGTTAACCGACACCTGTCCCATTGCAAGATCACACGTGCCGGTAATTACAATTTTAGGAAAAAGTTACCATAATTATAATGTGAATTAAGTTAAAAGATAACGCCCAAAAATGAATGAATTATCAAAAATATTCTTTAGAAAGAAACCAGAAGCCAAAACCAAAAACTAGAAAACACTTCATGAGACGGTGGATTTTGCCCTTTGTGTCACGTACTCGCCGCCTCCTTTCGCGTACCATAAAAACTTGTGGTTAACCGACACCTGTCCCATTGCAAGATCACACGTGCCGGTAACCTTCCCTTCCTCCCCCCCCACCTGCTAACTTCCCAACAAAACAAATTTACACCGCATTACTACTTTGTAATTTGCAAATACGAAAAAAAAAAAAAAAAAATATCTGCATTCAACGGTTGTTGTGATAAACGAATTTCACACATATAAGTTGCACCACCAACTTAAATAGCGGAAAGAGAAAAAAGAAAAACATCATTCAAATCTCTCTTCTCTAGCTTCTGCGAGTTTTGGTGGCTAATCATGGCGGCCTCGAAGCTCGTGATTGTATCGCTGTTCCTCGCCCTAATTTTCACGAGCTCTCTAAGAGCTGACGTTCTGATCGACGGTGAAGATACGACGGAGAAAGAAGTTGCCGGATCCAACAACTTCGATTCCTCGTCTTTGAAGATCGAACTTGACCAGCTTAAATCCAGGATCCATTCTCTTGGTTAGCATCTTATACGTTTCATTTCGCTTTTCTCCTCTCCTTTTAGAATCTTTTATTTTGTAAAAAATTAAATCTGCAATGGATGGTTAACTGAAGAAAATGCATGCTGCATTGGAGAAATCGAAGGTCTAAATAGTTTGATTTCTAAGTTCTTCGGGGTCATGCATGACGAAAACCTCGAGTTAGAGGAGCCTGATTGACTAATTTCTGGTTAACGAATAAGGAGAAACTTATCACTAATCAGGGTTATTGAACCTGGAAGTTCCTATTTAGTTGTATGTAATCCTTTACTTGTATGGAAGTTAGGGAGGAGGAATGGAGAAATGTTGCCTTAGATTTAATTGGTTGAGCTACTGGAAATGCCTGCAGATATTTGATCTGGTAATCTGCTAATGTTACAATGCAAGTGGTGCATAACTATTAGATATTATGAGAAAAAATGGAAATTACTTGTTTTGGTGTTTACTAAAATTGCTATGCAAACAGTGATTTGTAAAGTATCTGGATCACTGTGTACGGCCATTACTTATCATAGAGTTTTTGTGTTATATGTTCTCATTTTTCGTATCTATATACAGTAAAGCATTTCTCGTTACAACTTCTGAGTTCATTCTTGCTTCTATTGGCTGATGATTTTTGCCATCACTTTGTGGATAAAGAAACCCAGATTTATGAAAAAACCAGAGAACTCAAAAGCAAGGATGTGATAATAGCAGAGAAGGAGAAAATCATTCAGGAGAAGTCCAACAGCATTACATCATTGCAGAATGAAATATCATCTCTCCAGGTGCAAGGAATACATTAAAATAGATACAAGTTTCTGCACATGCTTGCTTTTGCTTCCATTGTATTGCTGTAGAATGAGTGTGCTGTTCTATTGCCAAACTCTATCACACACTTGCATCCTTCTTTTCACTTCAGTTTGACTCTTTCTCATTATAACTATGGCTTTACTTTATCATAGAAAAAAGGCACGTTAGATGCTGCAGAGCAGGTCGGAAAGGCTCATGCAAAGGCTGTAGAATTAGAGAAGCAGGTTGGTTGTTGATAGACAGGATTTACCATGAGAAGGCTATCATGTCTTCTATATAATTTTTTAATATTCTTTTATGTAATGTTATTATTCGTTGTAGGTTGAAAATCTCAAGAAGGAGGTGGAAGCAAAGAATAAGGAGAAAGAAGCCTTGGAAGCCGGCGCAGATGAAGCAGAGAAGAAGATAAGTGTACTGATTTTGAAACTAGAAAATGTAAGTTTTATGTTTAATTAAATTTTGTGCGCTTCTTCATTGTTTCTTTATTTTCCTGCAGTTATTTTTCCTTTTGGAATATCTCTTGTTGGTGTCAACTGCCTTGTCAGGGGCATTCATAAACGCAGTTCTGAATTTTTATGTTCCCATATCTTCACCTCATTTGTTTGCCTGTAACTGGTGATGCTCAATCTTTCTTTTCTGGTGCTGAATGCTTAGAATCATTTGGCAAAATCGTATTGTTGGGGTGATGGAAAATGGTGACTTCTTTCTCACATATAATCTGTCTTATGTTCCTACTTTTAATTTAGTATCCTCCTTCTACAGCTTGAAAGAATTAATGATGAACAGAAGAGCAAAATTCGCAAAACTGAACGTGCTCTTAAAATGGCTGAGGTGTGGTTTTAATTTCCTTAAGTACACACATATGCACACATAGAAACTTGTTGAAGTTAAATATAAGTCTAGTTGTTTTGTGGTAATCCTTGTATGCTGCTTCATTTTCCCTCTTGCCAGGAAGAATTGATGAAGGCAAAATTTGAAGCAACTTCCAAAACTAAGGAGTTAACAGAGGTAATACCTTGACTTAGTTTATTATGCTATTTATTCTCTACATGGGGCTGTAGTCTGCTTAGTAACTTAAGTTTTGTGGATGAACTTTCCTGACCCAAAAATTTGTTCTATTTGCTGTTTGCTATTTGCTCTTGGTGAGATGAATTTATATGCTGATTGCTTCCATCTGCCTGAAGCTTTTAGGATTGCCAAATGTTTCACAATTAATCCAAATCCTCCCAAACTGCGAAAATTGGGTATAATGATTGAAGGAACTTCACTTATAGTTTTTATCTTTTTTTGGAGTTTGACAACAAGTGCTGTGCATTGAATTTGAAGAAATGGGGCAATTTGCAGTCGAAGTTATCATACTCGAAGTTTGTTTTACCAGTTTGGTGCTTTGCTGTGAGTAACAGAAATGTTAAGGGATTTGCTTTTCTAATAAAATTGCTTATGGGGAAGAAGCAGTAGTATTTGTTAAAAAATGTTGTATAACATGAAGCAGACAGTGGTATATCTAGTGATCATATAGTTAAGTACTTTGAATCCCAAAATTATAAAAAAAAGGTGTATGAAAAAACATGTTGATAAGCAAGTTTATTTGATACAAATATTGTTTTAATTCTTTATTTTCTAATACTATTATATTAAATAATCTAATAATTAGTAAAATTCATTAGTAACGTAATAGTAATAATTTTGTATACTTCAAAAATATAAACAATTTTATCTAAATAACAATTATCAATTTATTAATCTAAAATTAGTACAAAGCAATTCATTCTTTTCCTTTGTACTGTATACACTAATCTGCATCTCTCACATCCATCTCCACTGCAATTTAACTCATTAAAGTCAATAAAAGAACATTTCGTTCTTTTCTTTTATACTGTAGACGTTTATCTGCTTATCGCGCATTTCAATTCAAGTCCCTCTTTCATTATGTTTTATCTAAAAAAAATGCAAGTCCCTCTTTAGATAAAGGTTCTTGAAGGGCTGTTCGGCTGCTAATTAGTTCAAAAATATTTTGGTTTTTGCCCTTATCAGTTTCTAACATTCCTATCTACAGAATGGATGAGAGGTTGAGATTAGGATAGAAAGAAAGAGGAGGATAATGAAGTTAGAAGCACGAAAGACTGGGAGCTAAACAATAGCGGAAAAGAAGAGGATGATGACTTGGTAGAGGTCCTCAAAAGAAAAAGCATCATTATTGATGCTTTACAAAATACATTTGGCTTGAAGTAAAAGCAAAAGCTAAGCCCAGCCAAATAGGCAGGACATGCATGAAGTGATCAATGAACGATTCTATTTAAAAAAAAGTGATGAATGGGATGATAAAATTTGATGATTCTGTTTCTCTCAAAAAAGTGATTATTCTGGTAATCCTGATTGTTGCAGTATATTGAATACAATAGCAATAGTCGACCATGGCAGGTTTGCCAAAATATTTCTCTATGGCTAGAACTTGGGCTTAGAATTAACATCCATGTAAGCATAATAATGCAGTCGGTTTTTTGCAAGTAAATTGAAATTTTTTTAACTTGTAGGTATAGGAAGGAGATAAATAAAAGTAGTACAGTACGGAGACTATCAGCTATGAGCTAATATTTTAGAGGGTTCAGCTAGCATGTCTTGGCTTCCTTGAATTGTTTTTTCTACTATAATCCAACAAAAGAGTTAGGGAATATCTTGCATTCAAGGAAGATATTAGATGGTTGTATGCTACAAATGCTTTGATATCTGATTTTTGGTTGTGTGGATACTTTCTGAGCACTAGTATCTTGGTGTGTCTGTGTATTCCACTGATGCACCTATTAAAGTGGTGCTGCTTATTTTCTAGTTAGCCATTTCCTTTTTTTCCCTTAGAAGATGCTTTGGAAATGCAAATTGCTAAATGATTTGAACTAGGATATAACATTGTAGTGATGATTACCTTTCTAACTTGTTACTTTTCACATGGTTTGAATGATGTGAGAAGAAAGATGCAATGCTAATGCGCATGTATTTATTATCAGGTTCATGGTGCATGGCTTCCACCATGGCTTGCTGTACACTTAATTCATTTTCAGGTGAGTGTCTTGCATTGTGATACTTTTCCCATAGGTTTTGTGTGCTAATACAGATATGTATTATCTTATTGCAGTCCTTTGTGGGGGCACATTGGAATGAGCATGGAAAACCTGCCGTGGATTTGATGATCCAGAAGGTGTGAGCTTGTAGTTGATATAATGTTCAATGACAGATTATACTGTACAAGTTTTCCTGCTCATTCCGTATCTAGTAGTACGTTAAAGTTTCAGCATAAATTGGTGCTTCTGCTAAACATTGCTCTGAATGTGTTATAGGCCCTTGAGAAAAAGTCTCAAGCTGAAAAGTGGGCTGAACCTCTCCTGGAAACAGTTAAAACTGTAGGCTATCTTTCCTAATTTTTTTCTTTGTTTTGTTCTATGATGTACCAATTTTCTGCAACTGCTTCTGAGACGTCTTCTAAAATAATTTTTTTTTATGATGTGCTTCTCTTTATTTGTTTTTATCACTTCAGAAATGGATCCCAGTTGCGAAGGACCAGTTGTTGGCGGTTACCACATATGTCGAACCACATGTGCAATTAGTATCCACTAAAATGAAAGAAGCTTATGAGACGTCAAAGATTGTGATAGCTCCACATGTTATCAAAGTTCAACAATCTGTTGATCATACTTTCAGGTGTGCACTTGTTTTTATATAGATACACCTGTAAAATCACAATTTCGGTCTTTCTGTTATATCTGCAAAGTTGATTTGCATTTAAAGCATGTTTCAATTTATAACAGGAAGCTAAGAAGTTTACCAAGCCATATATCGATCAAGTTGCTACCGTGACAAAACCTCATGTCGATAAAGTACGAGTTGCAATGAAGCCATATACAAAGCAAATAGTCCGTGCTTATGAAAGAATCTTGAAATCTGCGAACACATACCACCGTCAGGTTTGAACCTGTTCTGCTGTTACAACGTGCACACAAATTGACCAGTTTTCAATATTTATACTTTTTTAAATAGCAGGAATGTTCTTCATCTAGAATTTGTTGGAAATGGGCTTTATTCTATGAACTCCTTTGGTGAAGGGTAACAAATATTATTTTGAAGTCAAAACCGTGAGGTCTGTGTATCTAGCTTTTTTTTTAGTTGTTTCTTTGTGGGATTCATTGAGAAAGTGACAGATAATTTGGAGAGAACTGTTCAGCATTTGGTTTGATTTTCAGAGTCAAGTGATTATAATTCGCAAACAAATTGTCTTCTTGTCTCTGTGCAGCTGTTGATTTTCTGTGCAAATTGGTAATTGGATAGTATAGGAATATTCACCTATTGTCCATCGGTTACACATTTTCGGCTTAATCTTGGACTCTGATTCACCCTCCCATGGATGAACCTTGCAAAAGAGGCTAGGTTAGATGAAAGATGGTTATTGGTTGAAGGACGTTAAGTGCCCTACTTTTTCAGGGTAAGAAAGGTTAGAGAAAATGTCCCAAGCCAATGTTCAAGTAACAGACACTATGATGGTGGAGTAACCCATGGTATACTACCAAGAAAAGCTTGAACAACCTTTAACAAAGGGGTCCCTATATCCGAAACTAACAGAGGTGAGTAAGTAGAGAATACGCAGGGGTGCAAGATAACTCTCTCTAAGGAACTCGACAAAGTAGTCCCGTAACTTTGGGAGAAGGGGTGCTTTCTCATAAAGGGAGTTGCAATGATTAGGCTTGGGCAATTTATCAAAAACATAGGTCTCTGCAAAGTCATAAGACCATGTATGGGGGTTGACCTGCCTACTACCGGAAGGTCAAGGAAGTTGGTGACATGATGACAGGGCAGCCAACAACTAAAGCACTGGTGGACGGTGGCCGTAACTATAATGGTACTAAAGTAGTGAAATTCCTTGTTGGGTAAGTTTCATTCCTCACAAAATGTCTAGCGATCTGGGCATTGTCTTGGAGAGAGACTCAATAAAGTAAACATGTTTATGAAGATGCGGACAACCTGCACCTGGATAGAAAATAACCTATGAAACTTCACTATTCCCTGGATTGGCTTTGGGCTTTTTCTGTTCAGCTTAGGTGAAGGGTGAAGAAAGCCTCGTTCTAGCGGAGTTCAAGTCATATGTGAGATACCACTCTGAAAGAGTTAGAATCCAAATCTTGTGCTAGGACATACCGG